ACTCTTCTTCCATAGTCCAGCTTCTAGGATTGTTCACTCGGCATCCTTATTGAACAAGTACGGTGAATGGCTACAACCCTGACAAAATCCTTCCTTATTTTAAACAATTCGATATCCCCTTGTTCTATTTAAAAAACTGCCTGTTGGTCTATGTACAGGTTCCTCATGAGCACATTAAGTATTCTGGAATTTCTATTCTTCTCAATGTTATCCATAATTTCTTATGATCCACACAGTTGAATGCCTTTTCATAGTCAATAGAACTCAGATACACACCTTTCTGATATTCTTTGCTTTCAGAAAGATCCATCTGACATCAGCAATGATATCCCTCATTCCTTATCCTCTGCTGAATCTAGCTTGAATGTTGGAAGTTCTCTGTCAATGTTCTGCTACAATTGTTTTTGAATTATCTTCAGCAAAATTTTACTCATATGTGATACTAATGATATTTTTCAATAAATTCCATATTCTGTTGGATCACTTTTCCTTGGAATAGGAGGGAATATTTATCTCTGCCAGTCAGTTGTTCAGGTAGCTGTCTTCCAAATTTCTTGGCATAAATGAATAAGCACCTCCAGTGCAGCAACCATCAAGATAGAATAAACATTTTGATAGTTATTCTATCCATTCCTGGAGCCTTGTATTTTTGCCATTTCCTTTAGTGCAGCTTGGACTTCTCCCTTCAATACTTTTGTTTTTTGATCATATGCTATCTCCTGAAATGTCTGAACATTGGCCAATTCTTTTTGGTACAGTGACTCTGTATATTCCTTCCATCTTCTTTTGATGCTTGCTTCATCATTCAGTATTTTGCCCACAGAATCCTTCAATATTTTAGTTCAAGGGTTGAAGTTTTTCTTCAGTTCTGTCAGCTTGAGAAATGTCAAGCGTGTTCATTCCTTTTGGTTTTCTAATGACAAGTCTCTGCATATTTCATTATAATACTTAATTTTGCCTTCTTGAGGTGCCCTTTCAAATATTCTGTTCAGCTGTTTTATTTCATCATTTCTGGCATTCATTTTAGTTACTTTACATTCAAAGACAAGTTTCAGAGTCTCTTCTAACACTCATGTTGGTCTTTTCTTCCTTTTGTCTCTTTTAAATGACCTTTTGCTTTTTTCATGTATGATGTTCTTGATGTCATCCAACCACACATCTGGTCTTCAGGCATTGGCGTTCAATGTGTCAAATCTATTCTTCAGATGGTCTCTAAATTCAGGTGAGATATGATCAAGGTCACATTTTTTGGCCTTTATGGACTTATTTTAATTTTCTTTAGCTTCAGTATGAACTTGCATATAACCAATTGATAGTCTGTTCCACTTATCTCCTGGCCTTGTTTTGACTGATGATATTGAGCTTCCCCATTGCCTCTTTCCACAGATGTAGTTGTTCTGATTTCTGTGTATCTATTTGGTAAGGTCCACATGTACAGCTGCAGTTTATGTTGTTGGCAAAAGGTATTTGCAATGAATAAGTCATTGGTGTTTCAAAATTATATAATGTGATCTCTGGAGTCATTTCTATCACCAAGTCATTTTCTTTATTTCCAACTTTCACATTCCAGTCACCAATAATGACCAATACATCTTGATTTCAGACCACAGAAGTTGGTAAAAAAAAGTCTTCAATTTCATCATCTTTGGCTTTAATGGTTCATGGGTAAATTTGAATGATAGTCATATTAGCTGGTTTTCCTTATAAAAAGTCCCAAACCCAAACTCACTGCCATTGAGTTGATTCTAATTCATAGTGACCCCCATTCAGTTTCCAAGGCTGTAAATCTTTAAGGAAGCAAATTGCTCTACCTTCTTACATGGAGAGGCTGGTGGGTTTGGACCACCAACCTTTTGGTTAGCAGCCAAATGTGTTAACCACTCCACTTTCTGAGCTCCTTTTTCTCTTTGTAGGTGTATGGATATTATCGTATCACTAACAGCATTATACCTCAGGATAGATTCTGAAATGTTCATTTGGGTGATGAAAGTGTCCCCTTTCTATGTACTCTTCAGGCAAGTTGCTGTTATTTTCTGTTTCCTCATTTGCAAAGGTCATTTGGATTAGATATCTGTGTCAGTTATCTCATGCAGCTATAACAGAAATACCACAAGTATATGGCTTAACAACCAGGGATTTATTCTCTTAAAGTTTAGGAGGCTGCATTCCAAGTTTCAGGTCTAAGGGCTGGGTGAAGGTCCCTTGACCTTGGGTTTCACCTCTGCCTCTTGCTTCCAGCCCACTGGAGCTGGAGGTGTCTCTTAACTGAGGCAGCTGCTGACTGCTGAGGCTGACAAACCCAAAGTCGACAAATAAAATGGCACAGTCCCAAGATTATCAAGCAACATGGCAGCCACTAATTCAAGTCCAGAAACTGTCTCAAGATCAGCAGACAACATGCCAGGCCACTCACTGATGACTCTGTCAAAGATAGGATCCAAATGTACCAAGAAGCTCAGAGACTTTTTTCAAAGTATCTTTTTACATACTGGAAGCATATGGCATCCCAAAGACAGCTACTCAGCTGCTCACAGTAGAACCTACCATGGAGTTGATTACCAGTCCCATAATGGAGAATAATTCCATTCAGCCAAAAAAAAAAAAAAAAATGGGCCTCGCCAAGTTGACACATAACCTTTACTACCACAATGTCTGTATGGATCCCTTCAACAGCAAACTATTGTGTTTGTGTTATTCTCATGTAGTAACTTAGTAAAAGATAAATATTCTTTCATATTCAGGTAACATATTTTCACAGGCTATCAAAGAACTCATTTTGAATTGAAAATCTCTTAAATAAATATAGGTAGAGAAAGATAATTTTACAGGTGTTATCTCACTAACACCTTTTTATAATGGCAAAAGCATTGACTTTTTTTTTTTTTTTTTTTTTGCACAGACCAAAACCAAAACCAAACTCATTGCCATGGAGTCGATTCCAACTCATACCAAATCTATTGGGTTCCCGTGGCAGTAAATCTTTATGGAAGTGGATCACCCCATCTTCCTTCTGTGAAGTGGCTGGTATAGTTGAATCATCAAACTTCTGGTTAGCAGAAGGTTGCCTTATGCACTGCACCGCCAGAGGTCCTTTTTGGCACAGTAGTAGCTAAATCACTCAGCTGCTAGCCAAAAGGTCAACAGTTGGAACCAACAGCTCCATGGGAGAAAGATATGATAGTCTGCTTCAATAAAGGTTTATAACCTTGGAAACCATATGCTTCTTTGAATCTTATTTGAAATGGTTTCTTGTTTTCATTCAAAAGCAATGTTATTAAATAATGACAAATATAACAAACACTTTGGTGCAAAATGTATCAGTATCAATCATCTGTTAATTCGGTACTGCCTATCTCTGGGTCTCAATTCCTTACCTGAGAAGGAGATCAGTAGCCTCAGTGGCTCTAAATTCAGCCTATACATTTCCTCAACACCATATTTTCCTACTATTACAGGTTGATGGGATAATTGGATTCAACGTTTCAGATCCTTTCTAGGTATGATTTTTTAAAAATTCTGTTATTTTTGGCTATAGGCAGAAAATGAGGAGGCAAGATGAGGGCAGCCATGATACTCAGGGCCAGGTAAGCAAACAAACTCTCAAAAACCCCATTATGTCACAAGAATATACAACAACAACAACAACGCAGGTTCAAAAGTCACACAAAGAAACCATAATAGCTAGCCATGCAAAAGCTGAAAGGGTAGCATACACTTAACATGTAGATTAACAGTGAAATGATCCATCAGAAATAAGTGAGTCATTCCAGAGCCAAGTAAAGCACCCCACCTAATGTGGTTTCTTACTCTGAAGCCCATGCCCAGAGATCCTGGCCTTGAGAAATAGGCGCTGATGATTGAAAATAGCTGGCTGGTAGTGAGGGCTGCACCCAGGAGAAGATAGTCCTTGGCAGAGGTGTTTTTCTGACACTTGCACTAAGTCACAGTGCATTCCAGTTGTCATTAATCATCATCAGCATTATTAATGACATTGTTTCCCCGCCTCTTGAATAGAATCCTGAGAGCCATTAAGTCTACAGTACAAGAAGAACTGAGGAAACTGAGTGAATGATTCACATATTTCATATCCAAACTGCTTTGTTTGATATGCATATATAATAAAGGTTAGAATTTTTGGTTAGTTTGCTTGTATTTGAATTATCCAGAAAACTGCCTCCTGTTGTCACCATGACTTATAGGTGTGGAAGCAGCAGTAGATAACTTTATGATTCTTTCATGAACTTAAAGTACCCTTGAAACTTGAAGGAGAGAAATGCTGTGAGCAAAAATAGTTAGAGATCACGAGGCCCCTTATTTATTTAACAAAGCTGATCATAATGAAAATGCATCTTTTCCATTTTTAGAAAAATTGATCCATT